GGATGGGTCATGGCTACCGACTGCTTCATCTGCGAAGTGGGAAAGTGATTGAAGCACGCGACGTCAAGTTCCGCGAGGACGTGACGGTCGAGCGCACATACATTAACGCGCTGTTGAAGGGCCGACAGCACTATTTCCCGCAGATACCATTTGTTCCACTCCCAGTGGAGTACGTTGCTGACGAAGCCGTTCGGGCCGGAGCTCATGAAGCAGTAAGAGAGGCTGTTAATGAAACTGCACGGATAGATGATCAGCCGGTTGAGCAAGCGAACACCGAGCAGCATGACTTAGCAGCAGAGGCTGCAGGTTCGGTGGGAGCAGCAAGTGCATCGAATGACAGAGAGTCACAAGAGAACGATGATGTAGATGACAAAATGCCAACGGCGGATCAACTTCGACCTTGGTCGGAACGCAATCCGGACTTCCTAAATGGATCTCAACCGCGGCGCAGCTCGAAGCGCAAGCGTGGATGGCGACGATCAGAGCGTATCCGAAAAGAAAATGTGCGGTTGAAAGACTATGTGATGGCTTCCTTGGAAGCACTAGAGACTTTCGCAGGAAATCCTGCTTCTGTTGAAGAAGCTCTAGCGTCTCCACAACGTGAAAAGTGGATCAAAGCGATGGAACTCGAGATGGAAGCACACAAAGTGAATGGTACCTGGAGACTGGTCGATAGACCCAAAGGCTCGCACAACATTTTGAAAACCACGTGGGTGTTGAGAGCCAAGCTCAACGAAAAGGGGCTTGTGGACAGACTCAAGTCTCGTTTAGCAGTGAAAGGCTGCGGACAGAAGTACGGTGTTGATTACTTGGATACGTACTCTCCTGTCGTTCGAATTGAGACTGTGCGGATGTTATTGATCCTGGCATTTCTATTGGGTTATGAATGCTACCATGTTGACTTCGTTACGGCTTTCCTTAATGGTGTGCTGAAAGGAGTGAAAATATACATGGAGCAGCCCGCATACTTCAATGACGGAAGCGGTCGTGTATGTGAGTTGCTGAAAGGACTCTACGGCTTGAAACAAGCTTCGCGCTTATGGTACCAGACACTGCACGAGTACTTGGAGCAAATTGGCTTCAAGCAGTGCACATTTGACGTGGGTTTGTACCACCGGTGGCAGGGCGGCCGCGCTGTGTACGTTACAGTATATGTTGATGACTTGTTGATCGCTGGATCAAAGGAGGACATTGAGCATGTAATCGGTGAGCTGAGCGAAAAGTTCGCGTTGAAGAACCTCGGTCGTGTAAAGCACTTGTTGGCTATGGAAGTTAAGTATGTGCCGGGGGAGTTGCTCTGCATCTCGCAGACAGCATACATTGACCGAGTGCTCGAACGTTTTGGTATGAGTGGGGCGCGGTCTGCGGCTTCCCCGCAGATGCAGAACGAGAGGATGCCACCGATTGAGAAAAATCAGGACAAGACCAATGATCCAAAGTTTCCGTTCCGTGAGTTGGTGGGTGCTTTGCAGTATCTAGTGGCATGCACGCGGCCGGACTTGGCCAACGTAGTGCGTACGTTGTCTCGCTACAGCAGCTCCTACACAGAGGAGAATTACGAGTGTGCGAAGCGCGTACTGCGTTACCTACGGGCTACGCGAACCTACGGCTTAGTGTATAAACGTCAAGCGAACGTGCTGCCGCTGACAAATGATGCTTTACTGCGATGCCGAACCATGCCATCCGTCCGGATACGAGTCGATCTATTGACAGGATACATTCTGCTGGTTGAACGGATGCATGTTCATGTACAAGAGCAAACAACAAAGCAAAGTGACCACGGACACGTGCAGCTCGGAGCTGCTTGCAGCAAGTATGTGCGTGGAAGACTTGATGTGGGCTCGTAAATTGCTGAAAGAGATTCGGAGTGATAAGCTGCCGTGCTCTACGCTCTACATGGACAATCAAAGCACGCTCACTGTAGTAACGGAGCCTGGGAATTACCAGCGTATGAAGAGATTTGCCAAGACAAGTCGGAAAATCGCCGAGTTCGTGGAGAAACAGAAAATCGCGGTGCAGTATATCTCGAGCGAAGAGAACATCGCAGACATCTTCACGAAGGCGTTGGGACCACAAAGGTTCCAGGGTCTCCGCCAGAAGCTAAACGTTAAAAACGTTGAACAGGATGAGGCTCAGCATGAATGAGGTGGGAGTAACAGGAAGCTGCCAATCTACGGTGCAGCACGGTCATTCAAGCTGCGACCAGGCATATAGGAGACAAGAAGAACCACGTGCCAGTAAGCAGGGACGCGTGAGTTCAACGGGGGGTTTTAGCTGTTGATGGTGCGATGCATGTCCAACGGGTTTTCCTCCGCGTGCATGGCACGTTGCGTATGAGAGACTGCGCGGAGTAGAAAGGTTTAACGATGAATACATTCTTGCTTTTGCTTTCCTTCCAAGCGAGTCGAGTTTCTCTGACTTCCTGCTTGTCCGCGAGACCATTACGCCGCAGTCTACTGCGCGAACTACCAGGTTATCTGCTACCACAAACGTTGGTGGTCTCAACTCGATCAATTTTAACGTTAGGAATTGTGGTTTAGAAATGTCAGATCTTTAGATTGGTAGAAATGCGGGAGCTGTGTAAACGCATAATTTATCACATGGTCAGCATACAACGAGGTGGTTCTGGCACTGCGCCAAATAAATCGGCCACCTAAGACCTTACAAAATTCAAATATAATGTATGTCAATGATAGTAGCTAACACAATCACACAAACGACTTTCGCATTGACTGGAAATGGTGGTGATGCATCAACGCAGCTACGAAAGCGCAAAAGCTACCCGAAGCAGCACTGAGCACTTCTTCCTACTTTCTATCATCACTAAGCATTGTGTTCTACCAGTTATTGGCAGTGTAGTCCCACCGGCAGGGATTAACATAGCTTACTCTGAAGGAGTCCATTGTTCAGTGTTATAGAATTGGCTTTGGGTGATATTACGGTAGAAAGCCTATGTGAGCTGGTGGGGCTACAATAGTAGTATTTCGATTTCATGTACAGTGTCACATGGGTTTTGGAACTTATAGAGTGTCGATAGAGGCAACAAACCTCGTGGGATGCTCACTAGCAGCCACACGAGGGCCAGTAATACCAGGGCTGCCGATTATGGTATGTTTATTAATGTAAGACAAAGCCCAACA